CATGCAAAAACCACTCTACATCACCTTGATATATGTTCACAAGTAGGCAACTTATAGAACTTGGCGAGAGGGGCTTCTTATTCACAGACTTCAAAGGCCAAGGTTGGTTGTGAAATGGCTAAATGCCAGACTTAAATCCTCTTCGTTAGCAGAAAACAAAAGGATTCAATATAAAACCAAATATGCCACAATCAAAAGCATTTCATGTAATTTTTAGCCCACACAAACATGCGAAATAGATTTAAAAGATCTTCAGATATCCCCAGACTAAAGTACAGTTTAATTTTAAACTGATCCTTTCCTCAAAGATCACAGGGTGGCCATACTTGGTACTTCCTTATCCTTTAAAAAACAAAAAAAAATCTCATATCCACCCTATTAGGCAGGTTAGGCTGAGACACACCGACTGGCCCACCACTCCATTACATTACCCCTGCCTCAGATGACAACAGATGCATATACATTTTTCAAAATGTAAATAATCTAGTGCTTGAATTACACCCTTTCATGGAGAATTTTCTTTTTTGACAATTTGGAAATCTGATCAAATTTCATGAGAATATTTTTATCCTGGATCGGGTACTCCCACATATTATTGGAGAAAACAGTACAGACTGAATACGTCCCAAATTTTAATTTACAAGAGATCACTCAAGTCACCCAACAGAACAAAAGCTACTCAAATGGGAGAGCTGTACTTATGTTACTTGAGTAGGTGTGTGAAAAGCCTTGAAATCTGCAGTGATGCCATCTGTGACAGACGGCACTTTTTAAACAGACTTTAAAATGCTGTACATAAAACTACAGGACTGTGAAGGGATAATACTTTACAGACCAGGAGAGCCTTGAGTGACAAGCTACTCCAGGCGATCTGATTGGTTGGCATCAACTGAGCAGAAAGAGTATTTTGAGAGCTGGATGCTGAGAGAAGATAGTGAGATTCCTCCCTTTACTGCAATGTGACATATGCTGAGACTGTCTTAGATTAGCCCTGACAGAAAAGTCAGAATTCATCCATGACTGTATAGTTTTAGTCAGGTCTTTTTTCCTGGGAGAACACACCAGAATGGAGTTCTGGGATCTCTTTGATAATTTTTTATTTGAAATGTTTAAATGTTAATGAGTTTTCGGTATACAGATTGAAAACTTAATTCCCTCATGAGAATTCCAGCACCTCTTTTTTTAAAAAAACCAACCACCCTGGTTTTCATTCAGCATTAGCTGAGAGCAGTTTGAACACAGACAGCGAACTGGGGGAAAGTGTGGCAAGGTGGTTTGGGTAGCATAAGAAGACTTCCATTCAGGCCAAATGAAAGATGATCAATCTTCTAGGGAGAGAAGAACAATCCCTACCCAGCCAAACAGGGAAAGTTATCTCTGAGGAATAGAGATCCCTGGTCTGGTGTGATAGGAAACTGTTTGTGGAGATTTTTAAAAGTCAGTTAACAACTCAAGAAGATTTCTGGGGTTCCAAGAGAAGGGGTTTGGGTACGAGGAAGAGGGTACCAGCCTTCTGAGCACCCCAAGAGTCTGCTATTACACAAATAAAGGGTGCTGGAGTGCTTTGGGAAAACCCAGGGACAAAAGCCTCTCAAAACTGTGAATAATTCAAGAAACTCTCACTATCCTGATATAAGAAAAACAGGTTGTGCTTATACTATTTTACCCTCAGTATTTTCAGTTCCTGACTTCACCTTACTTTTCCCCTTGATGTTAAATAAAACCTTTTGTTATTTTAGAATTTTAAATACATCTCTTGTGCCATTTCCTGTCATTTAAGTTAAAGGGCGACCCAAACCCTTCCCTCAGGTCCTGGGCTGAGAAAATAGCCATTACATATTACTGACACAGGGTGGGACTGCTAAAGCTACTTTAAAGACTTGTCTTACGATAATCTGGAGACTGTTTTTTATTCTGTGTGCTGTCTGATGGGTCTTTGACCGTAATAAACTGATTGATTGCTACTTTAAAGAGAAGAATACATGTTAACAAGGCTGCTCAGTCAACGAAGGGACACATAAGAAAAATGGAGGGAAAATCTTGCCTCTGAGGGAGGGAAATAGACGGGGTCTGTCATACCATCATATGGATATAATCTTGTGAGCCCGACACCAGCACTCCAAGCTGTTTAAAATACTTGCAGATTCATACAGCAATATCATTACAAACCCATCAAATGCTACCCTGTTTGCCATGCACTGAAGGCAGCTTTTAAATCTTCATATTCTGTAAGAAGGGCCGCACCAATGAAGCCAAAGAATGCAGGAACAAAACAGTGGTGCCATGGGAATAAATTTTATTCACTCTATGTACCCCAACACGTTTTGCTCAGTGCCTCCTCAGGGGGATCTATATAAACATTAAAAATAAACAAAAAATGTAAGATTTACTTCTCATACTAAAAGACATGTTTAAAAGTTATATGTATAAAGAATTTTTAATGTAAATATATTGATGAAAACATAAAGATGGGGTGCTTGACAATGTACAAAGTGCATTATATGTCGAAAAACGTTGTATACTTAGCAACGTCATGTAAACATTATAGAGAACAGATGTTTCCACTGCTCCTATATTTTTCGGTTCTCTGTAATCTTTACATTACTTTGCTATGGGTACAACATTTTTTGAGACATCACAATGCACTTTGTACATTATCATGTTTTTTATTTTTAATGTTTATAATGTTTATATAGATCTCCCTGAGGAAGTGCTGAGCAAAACACAATGGGAGTATATAGAGTGAATAATATTAATCCCACAGCACCACTGTTTTGTTTCTTCATTCCTTGACTTCATATTCTGTCCCAAAGAGAATCTGCATTGACCATCACAGCTTTTATTCTTTGCAATATTTAGTGTGGACACAACCACTGTAAGTGCAAAATATTCAGGGTAAAATTTTTCTTTGCAAATATATGGCACCTGTCATTTCAAAACTTTTATAATTACAATACAAACATTAATGAACGTTCTCCTTAGTTCTTCACAAAAAATTAAACTGTTTATAAACTGCTTAGGCAACACATCTACTGATACTGTAATTTATAGTTGTGTCTGTGGAAATATGCAGAATTGACAGATTTTAAAGAAAGGAATAGCTCAGAGCCACAAACATGGCACAGTTTTCATTTTATAATAAAATCTCAGAATACACTCATGTTTTCAAATGTTGTGTAGAATATTCCTTGACAGTTTTGCAATATAAATGTGTATATATATGTATGTATATTTCTATAACACTAGGCATTCATACAGTGTATCAGTTGTCCCAAGTGGTATGCAACTATTACGAATATATAAAATGTATACAGTTGGCATTTCACCATATGCAAAGTGACAGAGCAGATTCAAATCAAAATCCTGGATCTTCGTAGCTATTATGACTTCACGTGTTTTAAGTAGTTTAGGAACCATGGTCAATTTTTCAAATGCACAACTTGTTCAGTCAATACATTTCTGAGAAAAACCTTGAGGAGGGGGAGCTTTTAACAACAGCTAAATTGATGTTAACACTCTGATTGTTCAAAACAGTTTTTATCATACAGTGGTCAAATATTTAGCCTCTGCATGCAACATGATTTGTAAAACAGCCTTTCAGTTTTTTACTTCTTGCAATACTGATCCCTCAGTTCATTCTTTAAGGTTATGTTCTATTACATCTATTAAATATATTGAGGTTCCCATGAAAAGATTCACAAGTATTCTAGTCTCTTCATTGATGGCTGAGAGTTAGTAAAATCTTAGCCCTAATTTTCATTCACTGAATTGATTTAAATCCAGATCCCTTAATTGAAATCCCAATTTCTCCAAAATAAGCATGAATGCACAGCATGCTATAAACAAACCCAAGAGGTTTTGTCCATTATCCACATGATATTTGCAATGCAGAATTCTCTGTGATGAGGAACAGATTTTTTAAAAAGCTTGGCTACATATACAAGAAAATGAAAACATCACTTGTCTGAAGGTTAACAGTCGCAATCATATACACACTTATTTAGAAGCAAGTCTCACTGAATGAAGTCAGACTTCCAAGTTAAAAAAACCTATCATGACATGTCCAGAACTTTCCAGAAACAGGAAGTGGTAGTTACGGGATGAAATTGCATTCCAAGAAAAAATATCCATGCTATATGGTTACTAGAGTCATAATATGCAGATTCATTACTTTGCAGTTGGAAAACATAAATACAATACCACTTGGATAGGCTGGGCAGATGATGCTGGAGAGATACAGGATGCTATTCCCTGGATGCTAGTGCCAAGCAGTGCTAGTGGTCAGTTCAACAGGAAACCCACAGCAATAAATACATTAGTGTCATTTATAAATGTTTTGCCTCAGAAATAAATTATTTATTTATAAATTTAGTCTTTTACATTGAACAGTGGTCTCTCTCTACCTAGCAAGCATGCTGAATGATGACCTAGATTTAAGAGAAAATGTTTTAACATGTTTGTATAAACTCAGATTTTAACCGTTTATTTCAGAAAAATAACTACATCTGATTTTTTTTCCATCTGATGTTTTATTTTGATCTACTTGGAAACATGATTCTTGATTAATCAAAGCCTTAGTGCCCTTTTCTACTTCTAAGTGATTTGATGGCAACTGGATAGGCAGCAGCTACATTTATTCTCCAAAAATCCAAAATAAATGTTTGATATTTAAGCTATCCCTACATCTCCTGCCATTTATCATCTTACCAGGTATCATAGACGTCTGAACCTACAGGAGCAAATCTGTGACACAAGACCAACTATTCAAAAGCTTTATTTACTTTATCATCAAGGAAAAAGTATACTGAATGAAAAAGTATCGTTATAAAAAGTGTATTTGTGATAGTGTATGCAGATGAATAGGTAACCAAAATAAATATCCAGGTGAACACACACAAGCATCATGTGCATATTAGAATCACAACACATGTACCACTTTCATCCCTTAGAAATAACAGAAGCTTCGATACCTTCACAATAAAGCAACGAGACTGAAAGGCCTCACACAAACATTAAAAAGAATTTTTGTGCCTTTATTGGAATGGTGAAATACACCAATTTTGATCATTGGAATATTTGGTTTAATTAGAAATGACACTACAGAACTGCAATACTGGTCCAACAGTCTTGTCTTTACTTTTTTTCCCCCAAAGCAAGAAATAGAATGAAAATGCACCGAGTAATCAGAAAGCACTAGCAGGCATCGGTTAATCCAAGATTCTAGCTCCTTAGTTCCAAAAGCAATTGCTAAATTGCACTGTGTGGAACCCACATTTAAGATTGGTCATAATTTGAAATTACTAGAGTCACATGATTAAGCTTCATGTGGGCATTACATTTTTTTTTAAAATTTACCTCAAGTTGGTCACTGGTATGTTTCTTGTCAAATATTACATTTCTTTCACTGATATTTTTTCTCAACGTATAAAAAAGTATGAAATATAAACAAGCTCTCGCATTGTACACATGTTAGAGTACAATCGAAGAATTATAGAGCTGACTATCTACACACCGTCAAATCCCATCAAATCTTGGATACTCCATTAATATACAAAATATCAGGCCACAGAAAGAACAAAAACCCACTTCTTTTGTTTCATTACGCACAGGTTCAAATATTCAATCTAAAGAAAAAAACACTTTGAATCATTTTGGCTTCCCACTACATCTGCATGTTGAGACATTTATTAAAATATTCCTGTTTAGTTGAATTTGGTCTTTTTTCTTCTTATTATTTTCAAGTCATGTTTTGTTATCTTAATACCGGCCATCCAGACAAACAAGTATTGAGAAAGACCCTCCATCACCCTGCCTCCCTAGATCCAACTCTTCAAAAGTCAGATTTAAGACATAACTCCAAACACTGGGTTGTGACGACAGATGCTAGGACCAATTTCTTCATAATCTTTTTTGGTGTGGCATACTTGGTAGAACTCAGGCTGGAGGGGAAAAAAATGAAAGGGAAAGTCAAAGATATACCTTTTTTTTTTTTTAAGGACAAAACACATTCCACATATTTGGAAGGCAGACAAATTCCACATTGTAAACAGAAAGGCTGCTGAAGTTCTTACTCATTGGGCTTGAAGCAAGGTGTTGCTAATGCCTGCCTTAAATATGAAACCCCAAAGTCTTTTCTGGAACGTACTGTATACATGATATATTCCCATCCCCTCCTTAGCAAATAATGGAAATAATGGAATAGCGATAATGGAAAGCAATCACATAACTTTTGCTTTGCTATCTCCCTTCTCCCCCCTTCTACTTTGCTTTGGAAAATATTTCAGCACTCTCTACATGCACCCCTGCAAATGTAGTCCCCATGTTGCCAGAAATCCCACTGTCAACCACCCTGAAGTTCACATTTTGCAGGATGCACTGTGGATCCCATCAAACTACCACCACAGGGATCAGGTGGTGGTGGTGGGAGGTCCAGCCTACTGGGAAAAGCAGTATGAGGGAGGTGTCACAGAAAAGGCCCAGGAAAAAAGAATGAAAAGTTCTCTGAAACACCGTCCCTGTCCGGCTGAAACTTTTAATTTGTTTGTTAAGTAATGAGCTTCTTTAAAATGCAGACTGTGGAGTTCACCCATCTCTAACTCTAAAATACCAAACAAATTTGTGCATAGATTTATCTGATGGATAGTAATATACAAGTTGTAAAATTATAGCAATAATAATTGAGTAAAGGTTTCCATTCTACAAAGGCACCCAGAAAATAATGAATATTTTTTTATACTTTCAGTGGTCTATTTTGATCCTAATTTTGGAAACAAAAAATGTTAATGTAATTATGGAAACAACAGCGGGGAGCATAGGTGGAATAGCTACTTGCAGATTTCTTTTCCCTTTAGTCAACTTACTGTGGAAGCCAACATTGATCCTCCAAACCAAACTGCGTATCTCTGCATATGATGTGTAATAACTTGTACATCAATAGGCTTGGGCTACATCAGAAAATAAAATCAGTATACAGTTATGAGTTTCACTCAGTATACATACCTCCACTCTTAAAACATATTCTACTATACTTTTAAGACATAAGTATATTCTACTATCTTGCAACTGACATACAAGTAGGCATTAAAATGATAGGTCCACAATTTGAAACATTATGAACTGAAATTTAAAAACTACATCAAAAAAATCTTCAGATAAAAACGTTTCCGTATTACCTACTACATTACATCCAACAATGAATTTTTCTTCTCTTCCAGAAGATGCAATTTTAATTGTATCAGCCACTTTCTGCATATTTTAGAAAGCAGCATGATATGACTCGTTTAGCATAAAATAGACAATGATGTTATCTCAAGTAAAATTTTTAAAAGTGTCATGCTAAGGTCTGGGAGAGCTAGACTCTGCTATGCAACTTACTAGGTGACCTTGGGGCAGTAATTCTCTTAGCCTGCATCACACGTATCTTGCAAGGATAAAATAAAGAGCAGTGAACAGTGTATGCCTCCTTAGATTCCCTGGAGGAAGGGAAGGAATAAAATGTGCTAAATAGATTAAAATAAGCTCAGATTGGCTATTTGTAACCTAGTTCTAATAATGCTCAAATTTGAACAGGCTTTCAAAATGAGCAAAAATGTGTCCCAGAAGCCTGAGCAAACTAGTTTCCAGGGGAATTCTCCCCTCTCCATAGGAAACTTACTTTCAGTCCTAAAGAATGATCAAATATTTGTTCTCCTCCCCCTGCTCCCCACCCCTAAATTGCTAATGCTAGAAAGGTATTAGAAGGAAACTGGTTTTTACAATATAGAGAGGGGAAACAAGTGAAGGAAACTGAAGAGGTTTTTACAATATAGAGAGGGGAAACAAGATGTTGTGAAGCCTAGGAACAGTGGAGGATTAGAAGTTAGGGAAGGATGCTGATTGGGCTTGTTCTTTTCAAGGTAAAGGAGGAAGTGAGTTGAACCCATCTCTGCTCTGCTGGAGGACACATCACAGCAAAGGTCTGTAGACAACAGTCAATATCAAAAGAAAAGCGGAGCCTACAAAATCATTTAGTAAACAAAAAATGAACTGACTGTGTGGTGCTGAAATCAAATATCACAAAAGAAGGAGAAATATGATTCAAAAGACTGAAAATTGTTCAACTAAAAGTATGTATGGCACAAAAGATTTTCTTTTCACATTTTTATCTCACCTTCGTAAGCAAAGTTACAACATGTCTGAGCTACTCTCTTCATATCACTAAATTCTACATTTAAAAGGTAAGTCGCAAATGTTTTGACAGCAGATAATTTATTTCGTGGATGCAGGGATAAAGGAGTAGAAATCTATACTTTTTCTTAAGTTCCTCATAACAGAATTCAATACCCTTGCCTATTTATGCCTAGACAACTGTCCGATGAAGTGGTTAGATACTGCTCAAAGCATTCTGTGTGAAAGGGCTTATTAGTTCACACAAGTGTAGGCCCCCAGGGGAAAAAAGATACTGATAGATCAGGTACTGAGTGGATCTTTTTATTTACTTCATTTATTCCCTGTCTTTCTCTCCAATGGGGACTCAAAGCAGCTTAGATCATTCTCTTCCCCTCCCTTTTATAACCACCCCGTGAGGTATGAGTGTTAACGGCCTATAGTCATCCAGAAAGTTTCCATGGCAGAGTAGTCATTTGAACCAAACTCTCCCAGATCATATCCCAGTACTCTTATCATTATAACACACTGGAAACTGAAGGGACTGGCTGAAAGACAGAAGGCCACAAGCCTGAAGAAGAAGAAGAGATTGGATTTATACCCCGCCCTTCACTTGGAGTCTCAGAGCGGCTTACAAACTCCACTCCCTTCCCCTCCCCACAACAGACACCCTGTGAGGTGGGTGGGGCTGAGAGAACTCTGACAGAAACTGCTCTTTTTCAAGGACAGCTGTGCCAGAGCTTGTGACTGACCCAAGGTCACATCAGCAGGTGCAAGTGGAGGAGTGGGGAATCAAACCCGGTTCTCCCAGATTAGAGTCCGCACACTTAACCACTACACCAAACAGCAGAAGCAAAGAAAGCAGTAAACAGAACATTATAAATTCTCAAGAAGTTCAGCATCTCCAGTAGCTTCCAGTATCCTAGAGTGTAATAGTGATCTTGTTCATTACCCAACACACAGAAGATGTGCTCATGAAACTATAAAAGTTAGGCCTTCACCAACAAAATTACAAAGATATAAGGGAAAAAAACACCAGGATCTTATAATGGCATCTACTGCCATTCTAAACAACTGAACCCCACACATCACTGCAATGTAAAGGATACAAACCTTCAGTCTGCCACCACTCAGTTCCTCGCTGAGTTTCAGCCTGGCATCAACAGTCCTTTTCAAGTCTCGTTGTAAACGACGACCAAAATCCCTGAACATAGTTGAGCCTCCAGACAGTACAATATTCTGAATTGAAATTGCACACACAAAGTTATAATCACTTATTGCACACACAATCATGAAAGACTGAAAACTTAAAAACCCAATTGTAATCAGTACCATATTTACTCAAAAGGAAGATGACCCCGAAATGTTGGATGACCCCTAAAAAGCTACATACAAAAATTATTATTGGATATAACTGTAACTTATATGTGAGTGTAAGAAGACCCCTCCCCCATTTTTGATGGCATACCTGTGAAAATATCTAGTCTTGCATTTGAGTAAATACTGTACTTACACAAATGCAAGACTATTTTTTCCTGAGTTATGCAATCAAAATGAAGATGGCACTGTCTTACATTCATATATGTTACAGTTACATTCAGCAGTAATTTTTGATGTCATCTTCCTTTCAAATAAGTATGGTAGTCACTAGAAGGAAACTGACCAATGCATGAACAGTCCAAATGATCCTAACACTTTAATTCATAAACAGAAATATCATGACCTTTGAGAATATTCTGATTTTTAATAAGTGTCAGCAAGGCCAGATTACTAATTATCATGAATATTTCAGGATCTGAAGTGTACTCCACAAACTGTGCAGCACAAAATTAATTATCAATGTCAAGCTTTGAAGTGTACAAATCATAAGGACCTAAAATATCATAAACAGATAGATGTGACCCAAATGTCAAAAATTTCCTCTGGACTAATAAAAGTCATCTCATCATTCTCTAACCTAAAACTTCTAAAATTGTTAAATTCACTTTAGTTATGGATACATTTTTGCAAAGAATACATTTAATTCTTTGAATTTAATTGCATATTATACTGGTTCTTTAAGACAGAAACAAAAAACGACCCATTGTTGTGCTTTCAATGAAAAAAAAATCCTTAGCAAGTAGAAGCAGATATGACTAACCTAAATGCACCAGTCCAGAGTATACTTTGTCCTAAAGCAACTACGACCATGCATGCACGCACACAGTAACTTCACTACCTTTACTGACTTTACCTTATATAGTGGACGTCTAACATCAATAGGACAGTTCTGAATAACTTCGTCTACTACTTCTGAGATGGGCTGTGTGAAATCTGGGTTAGCAAACTAGAAACAAACAGAATGATTAAGTTGCAAATAATTTTAATGCAGGAGTGCTAAAAATACTAATGGTTTGCATTATCTATAGCTAATACAGAATGTCAGCCTTTCCTGTGATCTATTCAAGTCAAATGACAGCCTAGAATTCTCCAGAAACATAAGACAAAAGAGAGCCAATAAAGCTAGAGAAACAACTGGCAGAAGTTAAGCTACAAAAAACTAGGTAAGAATGCAACACTTTATCCTTTTGTCTTCATTATTTTCGATTGTTAGGGGAACAGACCATTTTATTGGCTGCTTCTGTAACTCTGTAAGGTACTATTTGTACCAAGATGTTGCACTTTATTATTACTACTGGGAATAGGCTCGTTGTGGAAATAAATACGAGCTCTAGAAAGAGGCTCTGGGAGAGTGCCAAGGCCTTGGGCACTCAGGGTCAATGTGCTGCGGCAACCTCAGCAGGATATAATGACACAGAGTCCACCATTTTCTCCAAAGGAACTGATCTCTGCTACATGAAGAGCAGTTGTAATTTTCAGTGATCTCCAGCCCTCACCTGGAGATTGGCAACAACTGTTACCCAGGAGGGAATGGCTGCCTCTCCCCTCCCCAAACCCTGGCTTCCATAGACTCTACCAGAAAATCTCCAGGAATCTTCCTACCTGGAGCTGGCAAACCTAGTCAGGACTGGCCCCAATGAGTTTCTCACAAAGGCCTGCAAAGGGTTTCCTTCCTTTGTCTGAACCAAACTTGGTTGTCTAAACGGGCTCCAGTTTACAACTCAGCTGTTTGCCTCCCACCCTCATCCCGTGGGCATATCTCACTCCTTAAATTCACTGCCACCACTCACGGAATTGTCACTGCCTTTTTAGAGGGACAGTGAGACCCCTCTGGCCGAATCTCCCTATTTGAAGATGGAATCCCCAATCTTTGGGGGATCCATCTGGAAGTTGTGGGCTCATGAAAGGATCATTCCTTGGACCGGCCTCTGGCTTTACTTCAGCCTCTCTCGCACAAGAGAGCAGGGAAACTTCCATTCATTCCCCAGTCCAGCTGACTGTGGAGTGGCTGAATTTCTGCTGCCTCCCAGGGACGAAGACTGCCTCCTCCCTGGATGGGCTGCAGTCTATATTTATGCTGCCCCGCCCATTGGGACAGTCCCTGTCTTCCCGCACTTTTTGGCCTTGGGGCAGCTGGGAACTGTAGGCCAACAGATTAGCTATGTTCAGGGATTTTGGGTTTGCCTGTGTCATAAGAACATAAGAGATGTCAATGTTGGATCAGGCCAAAGGCCCATCCAGTCCAACACTCTGTATCACACAGTGGCCAGAAATACCAGTGCCATCAGGAGGTCCACCAGTGGGGCCAGGACATTAGAAGCCCTCCCACTGTTGACCCCCCCCAAGCACCAAGATGACAGAGCATCACTTGCCCCAGAGTCCCTATCTATACCTTATGGCTAATAGCCACTGATGGACCTCTGCTCCATATGCTTATCTAATTCCCTTTTGAAGCCGTCCATGCTTGTAGCTGCCACCACTTCCTGTGGCAGTGAATTCCATGTGTTAATCACTCTTTGGGTGAAGAAGTACTTCCTTTTATCCGTTCTAACCTTTGAAGTTTTATCTCTGGTATCTGGCATTGAATTTTATGGCACACACAGCCTGGCCCAACAAAGTGACATTTATGTCAGATCCAGCTCTTGTAACAAATGAGTTCAACACCTCTGGTCTATGTTTTTATGCAGGGCTGGGGCTTTTTTAAAAAAAAAGTACAGACTTTTTAGTATCTTTTTGTTTTTATTATTTTTATTTTGGAAGCCGCCTTGGGCAGGTTCCTGGAGAGGCAGCATAAAAATATTCTACATAAATAAATACACAATAAATAAAACAGGTCTTGCAACACAAATTTTTCCTAATAGGTCAACTGTCTTCTTGAAGTGACTTCTCTTCACTCTGAACAAAAACCATCCCTTCTAGCCAGCACTTCTTACCACAAGCTAGTTGTTAACTTTGACACCAAGCATATTTCTGAAGATTTGCAAAATGTCTAGCTATCAGCTACTGTGTGGCTGACTAGCATGACAGATACATTTGCTATTTTAAAAAAACATGTAAGAGTATTACTATTTAACCATTTGAGGTTTTCCTGCATTGCCCCAAACCTTTAGTGCAATTCCATTTGTTGGTAGTGTTATGCGATTTATGGCATATACAGCTTTTAATGTTAAGAAAACGACCACAGTACACAAATATTTAATACTGAGTCTGTCCATCTATCATTATAACACACACGTAGTTAAAAGCGATTTCCATCAACCATTCCAGAATTTGTTCTCCACCAAGCACTCTCCAACTCACTGTCTGAATAAGAATTTGTAATTCTTTGTGTGCATGTGTGTGTGTAATTGTGCCTACCACTCTGTGTCAGAATTCCAAAGGTGCCTGAAAGCTGAGGACACCTGCCTCTGGGTAAGGGGCCCAAACCTTCAAAGTTCACCCTAACTGAATTAAAAACACACAGCTGTAGAAGTGGTTCTATTTAAACCAATAAGGAAATAAAAACAATGAATCAATGCAAAAAAAGAAAAAATGATTTTTTTTAACTTGAAAAACCCCTCATACTTGCTAGATAGATACTGAAAACAGGAATTAAGGTGAAGTCATCTAATGGCTTCTTTCCCTTGTCAGCTTGCCTGCAACTGTCTTGTACTGAACAGTTCAGTGGCCACCCACACATTTCAGATGCTAAGCACTGAATCAAGCAGCTTTATTCAATATAAAAAATGGCTATCAGCTGGAAGAAATATTAGTTCTTATTCAGCTTGCTACAAAAAAACCCAGGTTGGTGGTATCCACTCTGAAGCTGGGTGAAATAATTATGCAAAGAACATTGTGTGGCTCCAGAAAATAAAAAGTTAGCAAAAAGCAAGAGGGGATGAAATACAAGTAAATCTTTAGGAGGAAAATGCCTTGAGGTTTGCAAGCCATGCAACGAAAAGCAGACATTCTTCAGTTGTGTATCTACTTGAATACAATTTAGACAATACAACGTAAAATTTAAAAATGGATTGTACCATTTATATGAATTACACAAAGTACGTTGAAATTTGTCCCAAACATCGAAAAAGCACTACATTTAAATGCAAAGCCACAGGATTATCTGGCCAATATTATGAAAGTTAACAGTGTGAGTCTAGACTTGGAAGTAAGTTTCAGTCCCTTCACTGCTGCCGAAATGTCTCACCAAGCTTTGCACTGGACTTTACCTCAGGATGAAAGAAGATCTCTGGCCCTAGGAATCTCTCATAGCCAACATCAATGGTAAATTCTTTCTTGGAGATTGCGTTGATTCCAGTATACTGTTTAATCCACTTGGTGCCGTCTGTATCATACTTGTTAAATTCTTTTACTAAATCAGGGCAGACATAACTAAAACGCTCCTGAAAAT